ATGCTTGCTCTGTCATCACACATGCACCCACAGCAGCGCGACCGCAATGAAGAGGTAGATGGTGAGGAGCATCGACCCTTCCAGCCAATGCGACTTGCCGTCGACGATGATGGCGTACACGATAACGACCGACGTCACGTACGTCACGGCTTCAAAGGTCGGGAACGCCAACGACATGGGCTGGTCCATGGCCCACCCGGCAAGGACGGTCACCGGGACCACGAAGAGCGAAATTTGCGTCGCGGATCCGACGGCAACCCCCATGGCGAGCTCCATCTTGTGCTTGAGCGCGACGCGGACTGCAGTCATATGCTCGACGGCATTGCCCACGATCGGCAAGATGATGATCCCGACAAACGACTTACTCACGTGCGCCGACGCGACGAACCCGTCGATCGATGCGACGAGGTACTCGGACAGGATGGACACGAGCACGGTCGCAAGGCCGAGGATGACGATGCTGCTGCCCAGCGTCATGTTGGAGTGGTCGGTCGCGTCGTCATCGTCGTCGTCATCGCACCCGCCTTCTTCTTCGTCGGTGGCGTCGCGCGAATTGAACAAGTGTGCGTGCGTTTTCATTTGAAAGTAGAGCAATTGCATGTACATGAGCAGCAAAAAGACCGCCGCGATGTGCGACAAGCCGAGCACGATCGCTTTGGTCTCGGGCTTGTCGTCGTAGGTCGTGTACTGGTAGTACGACGGCACGAGCATCGCAAAGGCAGACACCATGAGCAACGACGAGTTGGCCGACGCGCTCGTCTCGTTAAATTTGGACACGGACTGGGTCACGCCCCCGGCCACAAAACAGCACCCGAGGACGAGCAGCAGGTTGGACAGAATCGAGCCAAGCAAAGAGGCCTGGACGACCGAGATCTGGCCTTCCCGCAGGGCAAAGATCGCAATGATCACTTCCACCGCGTTGCCAAACGTGGCGTTGACGAGGCCGCCGATCGTGTCGCCCGTGTGGAACGCGACTTCTTCCGTGGCGTCCCCGATAACTTTGGCGAGCGGAATCATCGTGAGAAAGTTGAATGCAAACACTGCCGCGTCGCCCCATTGTGCGTAGTACGAGTAGATTGCAAACGGCAGGCACACCAAGAGCACGTTGATGTAGCTGTCGGTGGCGACGACGTACAAGGAGTGCGCTAGTGTGGGCGGCGAGTTGCCATGGAGGCTTTGTCGAAGGAGAGGCGTCGACTCTTTCGCAGCCCGGATTTCTTCCTTGGCCTTCGTCAGGAGCTTCATGGTTGCCAGGACGTAGGAAGAGATGTGACGACGATCGTCATGCGCTCCAACTCGTTTGCGTTTCCACACCAAATTCGAGCTGGGTTCAATACCCAGACAATATATTGAATGTGACAGGGTAGGTAATCTCCCATTTGTTGGCGGTGCGATGGGAAAATGCCTTGTTCTTGAGCAATGCGGCTCCGATTCGTTGGGCACAATCCTAAAACATCAACCTGTGAAATTGAATGTGTTGGGCCAGGCACAATTTACTTACACACGGCGCCGGGGAATCCGGTTTTTTGTGCTCCAAATGTTTCTTGTCACGCATCGCAACGCCGGGTGTCGGGGGGTGTCAGAGGCAAAGCCCATTTGGAATGCATTTGCCCAGACGGCGCGACCCGTTTTGTCTCTCGATAACTATGCACGTTGTGCCGAGCGAGGACGATTTTCGGACCAAAGGACGACGCGTCCTTCACGTTTGACGTCGTACGTACAGTAGAGCATTGCGACTGTGCGCACCGGAATGGCGGTGTGCATTACGCGTCAAAGTGTTCCAGGGGTTTCCGAAACATAGATCCATACAGCAGTGATGCGCATATTGCGCGAAACGAAACACGATTCATAAGAGATCCATTTGCACGACTCGCTTTGAGGATTCAGACAAAGCAAAAACCTCTTCACATCCTCAGAATTTGCAAAGTTGA